CTCAAACCACTGAGCTATCCCCCCCCCTGACCCATTTGGCATAGGTAGGTAACATTACTCAAGGGATGATGTCATGTATGCTAAATGTGACCTGTGGACAGAGCAGTTAGTGGAATAAGAGGCCTCATTAGTGATGATGACCTGTAGTGGGTGACAGTAATTTGACAGGGCTTCATTCAGAGAGGGTGAGAGTCACATGGGCTCAGCCTGCTCACCAAAGGAAATCAGCTAAGGTCATGTCTGTATGTGCAGCGGCACAGCTGTACCGGGGCAGCGTGTGTGGTGAAGACGCTCTATGCCGACTGGAGAGAGTGCTCTCCCGTTGGCATAAAAAACCGCCTCTGTGAGTGGCAGAAGCTATATCGGCAGGAGAAGCTCTCCCGCCACCACAACGTGGACACGAGCACTTCTGCTGGTGTAATTTTGTGTCGCTTTGGGGTGTGGTTTAATCCCACCCCTGAGCAACGTCAATTATGCCACATAAACTGCAGAGTAGACATAGCCTCAATCTGCTTTCTTACTTCGGACTTCAAAGCCTAAACGTGGCGCTTAGAATGGTGCAGAGCAACAGCTGAGATGTCTTGCTGAAGCAGAGTATTATCAGTGAGACTTTACGTGCATGCAGCAATTTCATCCATAGACCTCAATGTACCTTACAAACCCAAGAAAGCGCCGTTATCCTACTTTTATAGATGGGATAACTGCGGCGCATTCTGCGAATTCATCTGTGCCTCAGCCACTTTGCACTCTCCAGGATAGGACTCATGCCACTGACAGACTGTGTTGAGCCAGGAGGAGACACAGCCAGGGCATTGTTGCACCTTGGTTTCCTCAAGGCCCCTAAGGAACAAGGGAGCCCTCGGAGCTGCAGTGGATCAAACCAACCCCCAAAATAGGAGAGGAACATGCCACCTTTCCTCGGTCCCTCTCCTGGCACGTGGATGAATCCAGCTTGCAGCAGTTACTGATGCCAGGTCACCCAGCAAACGAATGGCACAGCTGGGCTTACAACCAAAGTCTGCTGAGCCCCAGCCCGAAGTTCACACCACTAATCACAACAGCCTCCTTCTGCAAATTAGGTGCTTTACAACCACCGAACAATCCCTGCTATGTGCAAGGTGCTGAAAGAGGAAACCACAAGGTTTCAGAAAGCCACAAAGAGAAGCAATATTTGGACAGACCTCATGGACGAGTGGAGGGGTGGGTCAACCCTTCCATCATACAAATAAAACAACCCCCCAAGGCAAACCTGAAGCAAAGAAAACATGCTGAATTTCACAGCCCTGTGCTGCAATACAAAGCATGTCAGTCAGGCAATACGGAGCTGGGATGCAAAGAAACAAGAACCTTGCTCACCTAAGGGGAGGGATTTTTTAAACCGTGTGAGCAACATGGTGCTGTGATTGCCTATACTAAAAATAAAAGGGATTCTAGTCACTTGCTAGAAGGCAGAGCGGGTTGAAAAACACACATTTGCAGTGGGAAGTCCCTGACTTGTAAGTCTCATTCATTCTAAGCCACTCTAATTTCGGTAGCTATGCTGTCTTGGGCTGTGATCACAATTAAGCAGCGGCAGGCCTCATTAGCGCTTAGCTGACCTCCATGGGGAAAGCAAGGTGGTTCAAGTGATTCAGCAGGTTGTGGTACCCTTATCCTCCAATGGCATAAAGTCACTGAGGGATCTTACACCCTATGGCATAAGTTACAGCTGCTCTTTGTCACGGATGCCAGTCGCACAATCACAGCGGCCGTAACAGTTCATTTTCAATGACGTGGTAAGATGAGATAGCAGACAATTGTGGCAACCGGGTCTGATTGCCAGAAAACCCAACTGGAACTCTCTAAACTAGGGAACTGTGCACTGGTGTAACTATGCTGATCTGAGCTATGCCCCGATGTGGGCATATTGCATTGCTGCAAAATGTGACTTGACTTGCCACGGTAACCAGCACCAGTACCAACCTGATCTTACATCAGTGCAGTGAATCTACCCCGGGGCTTGCCTTGGCCTGACTACCTCAGTGCAGCAAACATTGGTGCAAACATGCCTGTGAACATCTGCTCAGAATGATTTTTTTCCCTCCAGCCTGACTAGGGTAGAGTCACATTTCGGTCGAGCTGGGAGATATTCTGACCGGCCACGCATATTCACCTCCGCATTGAAGGGGAGAGACAGGCCCATGAAGAAAAGAAGAATGTGGCCTCCCCAGATTTTCTCCTTATTGTTATAACAATAATCATTCACCTGTCTATATTTCCCCTTGATTTCTTTCTCGCACCTCTCCAGCTATCTCCTGGCTTGGCCGGCTCTGTTGCATTCTGGAAAAGCACCTGGCTCTGCAGTCCTTCTACATGAAAGGAGCTCTATAAATGCGAGGCATCATGATTATATTAGCGATAGAAAGGAGCTGTTGCAGATACCTACTTCGGGAATAATGACCTCTAAGCGTTCTGGGGACTGTTTGAACACCACTGACTTTCCCAGTGCTCCAACAGCACTTATCTTGTGCTGCTGGCTGAGTTTTTGAGCTAATGGGGCACCCTCGTTGTTTGTTATATTTGTACTGTGAGGAAACCTCATTTTCCAGTTGCCTCGCCGCTCTGCTGAGACCATGTCTCTGAACAAAAGGGAATGACTTTAACATTTAGAGAACACATGACTGCTTCCTTCCAGTGGTCACCCTGCAGGGAATGAAAGCTTTACATTTTCAGTGTCAATTCATTATTAGAAGGTCCTTTATACCAAGCTGCATCCTCTTGAAGGGATTTGCCTTTGATCTTTCACCAGGCGTTGGGATCGCAGCAAGAAGCTTATTAGTTGTGACTTCGTCAGAGAAGGGAAAAAGGTAGGTGAGAGGTGTTCAATTCATGGATTCAGTTTTGGTTAGGAAGTGCGCAGCTGGTGTTTGGACAGTGGATTTTCTTTACAGGTGACTCGCTTTTATAATAAGCCTTCTCTAAAGAACAGGCAGCCACCCAGGGCCCGACTTTTGGAACCAACCCCCAGTTGCCCAATAGAAAAGCAATGAGCTGTTTTATTTGGTGATGCCCTGACTTTTTCTATGCTGCTGTCCAGTAATGAATGACTGCAGAATAAGAAAATGATCAAGGTTTTCTGTTTGCTGGAGGGCAGGTGGAGGGGGATCAAGGGAGAAGGTCTGAGCCAGTTTCCTTTCTGTGCACTTATATTACTGGATGCCCATGAAGGTCTCAACTGTGGTTTTGCAAAAGCCCTGAGTTAAGGGGCAGCCCGTAGCAGAGCTGCCCCAGGAGCAGAGCAGGGACCAGATTGTGACTCGGGGAACCACACCCTGTTCCACTCTTGCTCCCGGGGTAAGCGCAGTGCACCAGGACTATAATAAGAACAGGAGGACTTGTGGCACCTTAGAGACTAACAAATTTATTTGAGCATGAGCTTTCGTGAGCTACCGCTCACTTCATTGGATGCATGCAGTTGCAGTGAATGCATCCGATGAAGTGAGCTGTAGCTTACGAAAGCTCATGCTCAAATAAATTGGTTAGTCTCTAAGGTGCCACAAGTACTCCTGTTCTTTTTGCGAATACAGACTAACACGGCTGCTACTCTGAAACCTGTCATTATGGAAGGCACAGGACAATAATAGGCACAGATTGCCTTCCTTTCTTCCCAGCCTCAGTAGCCAGCATGTTGTGGGGTGGGGGTGGGGGGCAGAGTCAAATCTCTGGCCACTCCCCACCCACCTTCTGGGCAGTCACCCATTCCAGGGAGCAATAGGGTGCTTTGCACCCCTCTAGTCTGCTGTGCAGATACTCAGCCAGGGTCACAGGGCCTCCCTAAATAAGCAGAAAGAACCTTATAAATGTTCTAGTTGCATGTGGCAAAGCAGCATTCGTCCTGGGTTCCTGCCTCCAGTTTGAAGGACAAGTAATCCAAAGTCCTGAGACATCTCTCCTCTTCACAGCATGCTTTATGAACTTGCCTTGGACCCTACTGAGTGTTTTCTTGGACTAGATGCCCATGATTTATTATTTGTATTGTATTATTGTAGCTAGGAGCCCTAGCTATGGGCCAGGACCCCCTTTTGCTAGGTGCTGTACAAACACAGAACAAAAAGATGGTCCCAGCCCCAAGGGGCTCACAATCTAAGTATAAAGCAAGAGACAACGAAAGGAATGAGGGAATACAATCAAACAATGAGACTATATTGGTCAGCATGATAGGCAGAGGTATCTCCACACCAGCAGCCTAACTATGGTCAAGTTTTTCTTCAGCAAGCTTGGCCTTAGAAAATTTCATGTTAACCTCCCTGCTTATTTTCTTTGATACCCAGCAAATCATGGGATCAACACCCTTTCTTCACCTGTAAGACCTGCAATGTATCAGATTTAGTATGGTTCCTTTGGACGGGCCAGAGGGGACTGACCTTTAGGTATGTTTTACATACCACAAGTCCTGAGTTTGAGACCCACCTGGAGTGATGAGCTGGATGCTCGCTCAGTCTCTCTGAATCAAGAGTGAGTAGCTCTGTAGAAGTCAATAGCATGAAACCTGTTTGAGACAGACAGGTGGCTCCAGCCAGAGAACTCTGATAACTGGTACCATCTGCTGTAGTCTGTTTGGCCACCACTTAGCAGCCCAACAATCTCCTCTCTCTCTCATGCCTCATTCATGGCAGGGGATCTATGCAAGTTGAGAACTCCCAGCTTGAACTGTTTGGGATTTTTTATATCTTGATATTTTTAGAAATGTCAAAATTTGGGGGTGAAAACGTGAATTTGTTTTTACAAAACTGGCATGATTTTTTTCCTCTGTTTTTTCAAGACATTACAGAACTGGTCAACATTTCTTCGAAATGATGAACAATGTGAATGCCAAAAAACAAGGGAAAACTGAAATTTTCCCTCCCTTTTTTTAATCCTACAACCTTACCTGACTGCATATCAAGCCGTTCTCATGATTCACCTCCGTTTATTGCACAAGCCCTTTCATTCAGAGACAGGGGAAAATACAATCACCTTCTGATTTCACCTAATGCATTTAGCGATTCTGCAGTCCTCTGTATAGTGAGAAGGAAACATCCATATTCTCTGTTTGGAATAGCTTCAAATGGGGAGACATGAAAAAGATAATTCAACACTGGTAAGATATTAATCTTCATTGTATTGATCTCACATTTTAATGATAGAGGAGATCTATTCGTTTGGTGATAGTTCATTTCCAGCTAATCCTAATGGGAAAGGTTCTCGAGAAAATTTATTTTTAAATACTTTAATCTCTTTGGCAATTAGATGGAAATAATGTAGTGTGTGCAAGGTTCAGGCTTTCAAATGCTGTAAAAGGGTGCAATTTGCAATTTAAATAGTGTATTTTGTGGTTACCCTGAGTCAGAGAAATGTATCTTGTGAAGATTTAATAGCACTTGTAAGGCAAGGCGAAATATAATATCTTTATGATTACTGTGCTCATTGCATGATGTGTTTTGGTGACACATTATTGCACTAACACTGCTAATTGCAGAGTCAGCTTGGAGCTGAGTTGCAAGAAACACTTGGAGGGCTGGGGGAAGGCCAGAGGGATGCATAGGCACGTGTGCTGAGGAGAGTCAGACGGGGGGTGCTCCAGTTCGCCCTGCTCATCCCCACAAGCTTGCATGTCACTTTTCTTCTAGTGCTGCACAAAGGGTGCTGTGTAGCTTTACTGCCCCAGGAACAGAGCAGGAGGCTGAGTCCAACAGTCCCCTCACCGAGCAGCAGCAGCTTCCCCCTCTGAGCCACGCTAGCCACAGCATCGGCGGCATCAAAGCTCCATCCATTCCCTGCCCACCTACCTCTCTCTGTGGGAGTAGCTGCCTGGCAGAAATTTAGAAGAGCCTATGTAAGGGTGTTCATAGAATCCTAGAATATCGGGGTTGGAAGGGACCTCAGGAGGTCATCTAGTCCAACCCCCTGCTCAAAGCAGGACCAATCCCCAATTTTTGCCCCAGATCCCTAAATGGCCTCCTCAAGGATTGAACTCACAATCCTGGGTTTAGCAGGCCAATGCTCAAACCACTGAGCTATCCCTCCCCCCAGTGTTACCTAGCACTGGTCAGTTCTTCCCCACCTCCCCAAGCGGGAAACTTTGACCTTTTTTTAAAATCCCCCACACCAAAAAACAATTTTTTTTTCCAGCAACCAAAGCCAGTAATTTTTCAGCCGAAAACTGCTGTTCCACCCCACCCCCGTCCCCCCCATGTTCCCCTGGCCCTACACACACATTGTTTGGTCCAAAACTGACAAGCTTCCAGTTTTGGCTGAAGATTTTCAATTTTCAGTTTTCAAACAAAAAATTGATTTTCCCTCCACTCCCCCAAGGAAATCAGTCATTTTCTGTGAACAGTTCTGTTTAGTGGAAACCCCAAATACCTGTCAAAAACGAAGGTTGGTGGATGTGTTTTGACCAGTCCTAGCATGACAGTAGAGAATCTCATGCCCTTTCATTCCCCTGTGGGGAGAGCAGGTCAAGCTAGGAACACTGGGGAACTTCTGGGTGCTGAGCTCTTCTGCAAACCTGATCCTTCATCTTTATACGTTATAATAAAAGGGGGCGGACAGCAGATGTGCCATGGAATGGTAGTTCCCAAGAGCAACACAGCTTCATCACTTAACACAGCTATTTAGGGGATAATGAGGTGCTCAGATTCCCCACGGATGGGAACCATGTAAGTATATACATAGATGGCTAGCTAGCTAAGTTTCTTGCAACATCTGCCTTAGAATCAGTTATTTGGGCAGGGTAAACCCCATTTGTAGCAGAGGAGCAATAAGCATTTGATGGAAGGATCAGCTCCTCACCCCCTAGATGTTATTTTAATGGCCGAAGTAGGAATATGGGTCTTTATCCCCTTCGGCGATTTGCCTGTTTGGAAAAATCAAAGGGAATCTGTTTCTGTAGTTCCAACTTCCAGACCACAGCTGATGTAAAATGGAATAACTGCGGCAATTTACAGCAGCAAGGGATCTGGCCCATTGACTTAAAGGACACAGTGCTGATTTACACCAGCTGGGGAATCTGTCCTCTCTGTATTGGGAGAGCGTTATGTAGGTTTGGGACCCACTCCCGCTACCAGAATGTTGCCTTCATCCAGGCTGTTTTGTAATACTAAACATTCTAAGATTGAATACTCATGCCCCTTTAAAACGAAGCCAGTCGGGGGGGCTGAGCAAAACAAAATTACAAGATTTGATTTTGTTTTAATAAAAGGACGTTCATGTGGATTAGAGAGACTAATTCGACTGTGGCCACGCTTGCTGCAGTGATTGCTCTGTGGCCAATTCCAGGCTTTTACAGCCTGATCAGCGCTGGGGTGGGGGTCGGAGGAGCATGGTTTACATGCCTGGAAGTACTGGGTAGGATTTTCCAAAGTGCTCAGGGTGGGCCTAACTCTGCTGCTGTTGGAGTCAGCGGTAAAACTCCCACCAATTTCTGTGGGAACAGGGTTAGGCTTACGCCGAGGACTTCCCACCTGTTACAGCTGCATGGGGCAAGGACGGTGCTAGTGAGGGCATGGGGGGCACGGACGGACTGTGCTCACCTGCAGGACTTCCCACACTTACTATCCCAGCACAGCCCTGTCAGAGCATGGAGAGAGGGAGGTCAGATTGGCAGTGACCAGGGGGAAGAGTTCACCTTCTCTGCAGTGGGTGGGTGAGGATCACTCCCCAGGATTATCTCATTTAATCATTTCCCTGTCATCATGAGGGCCTCAAGCACCGGTGCACCTTGGTCCCTTTTATTTACTGCCTGTGGCACATAATAACCGAGTCTCCTGCGGGTCTCTTTCACTTTGGTCTCATTGCAGTTGTTGGTTGTTAGTGTGTGGGTAGCCTGTGATATGCAAGGGTTCAGACTGGGTGATCTGGCGGTCGCTTCTAGCCTTAAACTCTGTGAGTCAGCAGTGTGCCCTTGTTGAGTCAGCAGTGTGCCCTTGTTGCCAAGAAGGCCAATGGCATTTTGGGATGTATAAGTAGAGGCATAGTGAGCAGATTGAGGGACGTGATCGTCCCCCTCTATTCGACATTGGTGAGGCCTCATCTGGAGTACTGTGTCCAGTTTTGGGCTCCACACTACAAGAAGGATGTGGATAAATTGGAGAGAGTCCAGCGAAGGGCAACAAAAATGATTAGGGGTCTGGAACACATGACTTATGAGGACAGGCTGAGGGAACTGGGATTGTTTAGTCTGCAGAAGAGAAGAATGAGGGGGGATTTGATAGCTGCTTTCAACTACCTGAGAGGTGGTTCCAGAGAGGATGGTTCTAGACTATTCTCAGTGGTAGAAGAGGACAGGACAAGGAGTAATGGTCTCAAGTTGCAGTGGGGGAGGTTTAGGTTGGATATTAGGAAAAACTTTTTCACTAGGAGGGTGGTGAAACACTGGAATGCGTTACCTAGGGAGGTGGTAGAATCTCCTTCCTTAGAAGTTTTTAAGGTCAGGCTTGACAAAGCCCTGGCTGGGATGATTTAGTTGGGGATTGGTCCTGCTTTGAGCATGGGGTTGGACTGGATGACCTCCTGAGGTCCCTTCCAACCCTGATATTCTATGATTCTATGATTCTATGACTGTGCGACACCTCCCCACCCCGCCCATTGCTGGCTGCATTAGCTGCCTTGCCCCTGTGCTTTGGAAGCAGCCAAATGATGAGGTGGGTTTTGAACATGCTAATGAATTGCTCGGTATGGGAGGAGGGACAAAAATGTCCTTCACTGGGCTTTGGATCAGGCCCTATATGAACTCTTTTGTCTATATAAATCTTGAAGGAGTTCAACCCTGTGTTCTGTATGACAGCCTGGAAATAAGGGGATATTTTTATTCCTGTCTTAACAAACCATTATCTCCCAAGAGGAATAAAGGGACACAATGCATGGATGATCTTACAAGTGAGTTTCCGATGGCCAGATATAGCCAATGATGTCATACTATTTAACACAAACCAGCGGAGCTGGTTGGGAACTTTCGATTTGAAAAAGCAGTTTCTGCAAAATCAAAGTTTTCTATGGGAAGACAATTTTACAGACATTTTTAGATTGTTCATTGGGAAAACTGAAACAAAATATTTCATTTCAGGTCAGTTTGATCTGAATCAGAATATTTTGGTTTGTTGAACTGAGCTGAAACATTTTATTTCAAATCAGTTTGACTTTAAGTGGCAGCTGTCTGAGATGCTTCTTGGGAGTTGTAGTTCAGGAGCTTCATTTCCACAGTCTCCTCTATGGGCTAGTGCCTTAGCCAGACTACATCTCCCATGATGCGCCAGAGTCTCGCCTATAACTGACCTGCATGGTGCATCATGGGAGTTGGATGACTGCAAGTGCATCATGGGAGATGCTCTCTAGCCAGAGAGGCCAAGTCATTTAGAAAAATGAGGTCATGAGGCATCTGAACTATGTTTCCCCACAGGCACATCATGGTACTAGAGACAGATGCAGTTGGACTGACTTGAAATGTCTGTTTGGTTTAACAAACTGAAATTACATTTTTTGATGCAGGAATGTTGAAATGTCTCATTTTCATTGAAAATGTCAATTTTTGTGGATATTTCTAAATCAAATGTTTGCAGACTTTTTGTTCTGTGATAAATGTTGATATTTCAACTTTTTTTCTCTCAGTTAGAGATGAAAACAAATACAGAAATATTAGAATTTCCCAGAGGATGTATATTCCAATTTTTATTGAGCTTTACCAATCAGTAAACCAGTGGGAAAGAACCAGAAGTAAACCACTTGACTAGAACAGTCAGTGAAACACTTCTATCATGTCATAATTTAAACACAGGTGTCAGCTGGAGGAAACACTTTAAGATCCAGGTTTTCAAAAGGGGTCAGCACCCAACAGCTCCTGTTTAGGCACAGATAACGAAAAAAAAATTCCAGCACCCAGCAGCTCCCACTGAAAACTGTAGCATCTGCTAGGGACTTTGAAAATCAAGCCACTTCATGCAAGTGTCTAAATAAGAACTGAGCTCTTTGGAAAACTGGCCCCTTGTTAAGGGTGCTGAGCACTTTTGGACAAACTGGCCCAAAGACTGTTCTTGCCCTCCCCTCCTCCCTGCAAAGAACTTACAATCTTGGTTCATGACTAGACATAACAAGTGGATGAAA